CCTTCCTTCCTTCCTTCCTTCCTTCCTTCCTTCCTTCCTTCCTTCCTACATTCCTGCCTTCCTTTCTTCATTTCTTTTTTCTTTTGCTTTTTTTTGAGACAAAATTTCTCTGTGTAACAGTCCTAGCTGTCCTGTAGACCAGGCTACCTTTGAACTCACAAAGATCGCCTGCATTTGCCTTCCGAGTACTGGGATTAAAGGCCCATGCTACCACTGCCCAGCTGTTTTCTTCCTTTCTTATCTTGCAGAAAATCTTTAGATAATGTGTATAATTCTTCTTTGCTTCAGTAAGCCCAACTTCCTGAACACACTGAGTTTATCTTTTCCTATCTCTATTTTGTAGACTGCTCATCAGGTGTTTTATAAAACATATTCTACATATTCAGGTTGAATAGACACTGGAAATGTTTTTGGAACAACAACTAATTTTAATAATTTTATACATTTAAATAATTTAATAAATATAATAGTTAGCAACAACTAATTATTTTCTTTGAACTTTTAAAAATTGACAATAGATATTAAGTCCAATTCATGTTTGTATCAGCTTGGATGTATTAACTGCCAGAAACAAACAGTGCTGTGCATCGTGGCTTAGATTGAAAGGGCATTTATTGTTGACAAAATAAGCACAGAGGTCACTGATGTCTAAAGATTATTTAGTAGCCAATGAGATCATCATAGACTTCAGGATTTTTTTTTACTCACCTCTTCTACCATTCTCAGATGAAAAGACTGCACTTCATGCTAACAAAATGGCTGCAGCAGCCGCAACTATTATTCATACATAATGCCCTCCAAAACAGGAAGGGAGAAAAAGGGGATGAGAATCTTGTCCTTTTCCACGTGTGTGTTCTCTTGGGGAATATCTTTGTAGTATGATCCTCCACTAACAGAACTGTTTTCGTTGTCCTTCTGAAAGTGTGTCTTTTCTCATGGGAAACGAACTTCCTTACAGTATGATTCTCCACAAACACAATTATTTTCATTTGCCTAATGCTAGTTTCCATGATGATTCCTGAGCAATTATTGGAAAGGGCAATCTATTTTCACACGGAGTCACGATTTCTTCCCCAGGGAAAGGCAGCTTAGCGCTGACACAGCTTCTGATTTTTTGTTAAGAAGAAATGACTAGCCAGGTCTGGTGCTGCACGCCTGTAACTCCAGCAGCTTGATAAGCACCAGAAGCAAGAGGATTGTAAGTTCAAGGTCTCTGCAGGCTACAGAACAAATTTAAGGTTAACTTGGACAATTTAGCAAGATCCTGTCTCAAAATTAAAAAAAAAACAGCAACATTGAAGATATAACTCACTGGTAGAATGCTTCCCTAGCATACACAAGGCCCTAGGTTTTATCTCCAGGATTAAAATGAATGAATGAATGAATGGATGGATGAATGAATGAATGAATGAATCAATCAATCATTCAACTAGTAAGCAAGCGGTCTTGTATTTGGTCCTCAGAACTGCACAAAAAAGAAAAGTGAAAAGAAGGAATAAGATCGTGGCTACTAAACATTGGCTCAGCAGATCCTGCCATACCCAGATCCTTCATCTTGCTCTTCTCATCTTGTTCCTTTTGTACTTTCTTGGGTACTAATTAAGAGGCTACTTGCCTGTCAGTAATCCCAAAGTTCACCACCCTGCATGTGAAAATGCAAGAGTAGAAGGCAGTAAGGCTTGAGGAAAATAGCCTGGTGGGTTTGAAGGTCAGACAAACTAGATTTGAGTCTCCAATTTACCACGCATTAACTGTAAAACCTTGCACAGGTAGTCGAAGTAATACCTGTCATAGGCTCACAGTGTTTGCTATTTCTCTTCCCCAGAGAATTCAGTTGGTCAGAAAACATCTGGGTGTTACATGAAAGGATAAACTAGTTAGGAAGTAGAAGAAAAGTTCAATTACTTTTAAAATCCTCACTTAAGATTTTGTGGGTGGACTAGGGGCAGGTAAAGATGGGAACAGAAGAAATCAAGTAAGGAAGGAGGGGATGGCAAATGGAGGGAGAGAGGACCAGGAGACACTACTGGAATTGCGGGGGTGGACAGTGATATAGAAACCTGGTGCAGTAGAAATTCCATGCAATCTATGAGGGTAACCCTAGGAAAGGCGACTATTAATGGCGGATGTGGAACCCGAACTGGCCACCTTTATAACCAGGCAAGACTCCCAGCAGTGAGACTGGAACATCAATCCAGCCACAAAATCTTCCACCTACAATCTGTCCTGCCTGCAAGATGTACTGAGGTAAAGGTGTCACAGAACTTGTAGATATTCTGCAATACTCATAGATTGCTGTCTAGCCCAAGAGTCATCAAAAAGGCTGTAAGCAACTGATGGGAGCAGATGCAAAGATCCACACCCAAACATTAGACAGAAGTTGGGGAACCCCACAGAAAAGGGGTAGGAAGGATAGTAGGAGCCAGAGAGGTGGAGGATACCAGGAGTATGCAGTCCACAGTATTAACTAAGCAGGGCTCATAAGGGCTCACAGAGACTGAAGCTGCAACCATGGAACCTGTGGGTCTACACTAGACCCTCTGCATATAGGTTATGGTTCTTTAGCTTGGAGACTTTGTTGGAGTAGGGGTAGGGGTGTCTCTGGTTATTTTGCCTGCTTGTGGAACCTATTTTCTCCTACTGGATTGCCTATTACAGCCTTGATATGAAGGTATATGTCTAGTCTTACTGTATTTGTTATGCTGAGTTTGGCTGATACCACTGGGAGACATGCCTTCCCCCCCCAGGTCCATAATTTATTGTACAAATTGAATATTACATGATGAGTTGACATCAGCTTCTTCAGGCATGGAACTTAACAGATGAGGTCAGACATTGAAAGACCCAGTTATGATGCTTTCACAGCTGGTGGTTTTTTAGGCCTTAACTTGAAGTATAGGGGCAGCAAAGCAATGCCTCCATATGTGGCCAGAACACAATTCACTCTACCCGTGAGTGTGTAAGAGTTGAAGTACTTTTTAATACCAGTGAACTGGAATTGGGCATCACTTTCAGGACCAGCCATGACTTCAATCTTCGCCCAAATCACAAATTCCACAGCTGATGTCCTTCAACAAGCCCAGCCACCAGCTTGGCCCAACTGGAAAACACCCCCGGCATGCCTTTAAAAAAAGGGGGAAACAGAGGAGGAGTGGATCTGGAGGAAAGGAGAGTTGGAGGGACGGGAAACTCCAGTCGGGATATAACGTAAGAAAGAAGAATTAAAAAAATAAAAGAAAACAAAATCCTAACTCAGCCTACGCACAAAAGTCCCCTCTCACATTGTCAAAAGATTTGTAGGTGGGAGCAGTTACTCGGAGAGAGCTGCTCAGCTCTCTCTCACTGTGGCAAAATGCTTGAGAAAAGACCATCTTAAAGCATGAAAGGATTCTCTCAGCTCATAGTTTCAGTCCATGGTCAGCTGCCTCCATTGTTTGGTGACCTGGGGCAAGGCAGAATATTATTGAGAAGCACGTGAGGCAGAGAAGGCCCCTCACTTCATAATATCCAAGAATTGGGGAGGGGGCAGGGCTGGAGTCCCACAGTCCTGCAATCTTCTTCAAGGGCCCGCTACTAATGACCTACGGACCCTCCGAGTGGGCTCCATTTCTTGACAGTTTTATAGCTTCCCAACCTTGCCACCCTGAGGACCAGGTTTTCAGACACACAGGCCTTAAAGGACATTTCAAACCCTAACTGTTGCAGCAGAAACACATACACACATCACTGAGTTGGTTTGCTTAAATATTTGCCAATGTTTAATATACGGAACAAAATCCTCACTAGGTATTTTGGGCAAAAGGAAAGTAAATGGAAGGAATAACAAAATCAGATGGACTCTAATAAGGGAAGTCAAAAAATCTGTAGCAATGGTCAAAGGTCACCATGATCTTGTCATGCTAAGGTTAGGAAACTTGTTTCTTTGATAGCCACCACTGCCAGTATCACATTCTGTCCATCCCACAATGCTGGTGAGAGGACAGGGGATATGGCATCTCACTGCTGCCAATTTCCTGCATATACACTGAGGAAAAGAATAATATCTTCCTGAAGAGCAACCGTTAACTAATGGGGTTTCATAGAACTTAAAACCTTCTGGACAGCAAAGACACTATTTGAGCAAAGAGGCAGCTACAGAATGGGAGAAAAAAAAAGCTTTACATCCGATAGAGGGTTAGAGTCTAGATTATATAAAGAACTTAAACAGCTAAATATCAAGAAAACAAGTGATCCAATAAAATATGGGGCCAAGAACTAAAAGAGTTCTTAACTACAAATGGCCAAGAACTATTTTTTTTTAAAAAAAATGTTCACCATCCTTATCTATCAGGGTGACACAAACTTAAAATGCATTGAAATTCCATCTTTCTCCAGTCCAAATGTCTAAGATAGAAAAAGAGCAGCAAAGATTGGCATGGGTGTAGGGAGAGGAGAGCATTGATTCACTGCTGCTCGAAGTACAGACTCATGCAACCATTATGGGAGTCAGTGTGGAGTTTTCTCAAAGAGCTAGACATATATCAACCATGCAATTGCTTATATCACCACCATACTCTCAGAGGACTTTATATCTTAATACAGAGATACCTGACCATATATATTCATTGTTGCTCTATTTACAATGGCTGGAAAAATAAAATAACCTAATGCCCATCAATTATTGAATGAAAAATAAAAATGTGGCACATTTACCCGTGGAATACTATTCAGCTATAAAGACAAATGAAATTATGACATTTAAAGGTAAATGGTTGGAGCTGGAAATAATCATTCTGGGTGAGATAAACCATTTTCAGATATGCGTGCTGAAACTGGAGTGTCTCAAGAACTCAGGAGTATAGTAAGGGACCATAGTGGGGAGTTTCAAGAGGAACAGCTAAAATACAGTGGTACAAAGGGGGAGGGACTAAATAGGATGGGGGACAGAAAGGCAGGGTAGAGGAAGGGATAAAAGGAGAGAATAACTAATGTGAAAACTTTTTGGAAAGTCATATGAAAACCCACTACTGTAAAATCTATCCATAGTATGTACCTATATAAAGAGTTTAACTAGAGCTACCCTATGTATAACAGGGTGTCTTAGTTAGGGTTACTATTGTTGTGATGAAACACCAAGACAAAAAATGACTTGGGAGGAAGAGGTTTATTCTATTCACAATTCCATATAACATTTGGATCATTAAAAGCAATGAAGGTAGGAATTCAACTAGAGTCAGTAAATGATGTAGAGGCCATGGAGGGGAGCTGCTTACTGGCGTGTTTCCCATGACGTGCTTAACCTGCTTTCTTATAGAACCCAGGGCTACCAGGCCAGGGGTGACACCACTCACAATAGACTGAGCCCTCCCATTGATCGCTAATTAAGAAAATGCCCTACAGGATTGCCTATTGCCAAATCTTATGGCGGCATTTTCTCAATTGTGGTTCCCTCCTCTGTGATGATTCTAGCTTATTTCAAGTCGATATAAAACCCCCCAGAGCCCAGGGAGACCGTGCTCCCACAAAGCCACAGGATAGTTGATGTCTGCAGTGAAGAAGTATTTGTGAGACATTACAAGGCTGTTCCACACATGAACTTACTTCTGATGCTGCTGCATGCACGAGATCCAGTCAACACTGATGAGGGAGGACTCTTCTCCAGCTGAAGTGCTATTACAATTGATGAGTTCCTTTAGCACACTTCCTGCCAGCCCCCCAAATCATGACTCAGAGACTTATTATTAATTATGAATTCTCAGCCTTAGCTTAGGCTTGTTTCTAGCTAGCTTTTTTTAAAAAAACTTAACCTATTTCTATCGATCAATGTGCTGCCCCAGGCTTGCTTACCTCATCTATATACTGTCCACCTTGCTTTCTGGCTTCCTCAGTGTCTGGTTGGCTGGGTTGTCTGTCTGTCTTACCTTTTCTCTCTGCCTGCCAGCCCCATCTATCTCTCTATTACCTAGCCATTGGCCATTCAGCTTTTTATTAGACAAATCAGGTGCCTTAGGCAGGCAAGGTGAAACAGCAACACATCTTTGCACAGTTAAATAAATGCAGTAGAAACAAAAGCAACACATCTGTATTATAGTTAAGCAATTATTCTGCAACACAAATGAGTGCAAAACATCTTTACATGGTTAAATAAATTTTATTCCACAACTTCTGTGAGAGGAAGATTCCGTTCTTTTATCAGGGATACAGCCCCTGAGATGCTGCCCATCTTCCAGTAGATGAGCCTTCACCCATTCACATGCATGCATCACTAAATGGAGTCAACGGGGAATGGAGGGAAGAAAGAAGGAGAAGAAGAAGGAGGAGGAGAGATCACATGAAGTTGGAAGAGAAAAATGGTAGTGAAAATATAGGATGAATTGGAAGGGAGGGGATGGGTGGATCTTATCAAAACACATTACACGTTTAGATGAGATTCTCAAATAATAGCAAATACATAAAGAGTGATGCCTCCTTTTTCATCTTCCAAATCTCTAAAATGCAGGCTTTCCCTTCCAGTCTAGGAGTAGGGGAATCTAGGACTGTGCTTTGTAAACGTCCTGCCTCCAAACATCGAGAAGCAGTGAACAGAAGAGCTTGTAAACGGGAGAGCCCTTAAACAAGGTTTTGTGCGGCTCATCTCATCATAGATATTTACACCACGATAACTTATTCCACAAAGGATTTGTGGTTGAAAACAGGCCACTGTGAAATACCTCTTTGTGGTTTCTGGTTCTCTAAGCCTTGAACATCTGGTCGTTTTATGATATACATGATGAAAAGAAAGAACCTTCATCTGGCGATGGATGGAGACAGAGACAGAGACACACATTGAAACACTGGACTTAACTCCCTAGGTCCAAATGAGAAGCAGATGAAGGGAGAACGTGAGCAAGGAAGACAGGATCAGAGGGAACCCTCATCCGATCTCCATCCATCATCACCAGATGAAGGTTCTATGGTGATATGCAAAATATTCATCAGTATGGTTATGGACCAAGGCCAGTTCAGGCACCCTCTCCTCTGCTGCCCAGGGAACAATCTGGGGACCTATCCTTGGACCTGGGAACCCCTCCAGAATCAAGTCTCATGCAAATCCTAAAATGGCTCCCTTAGTTGAGATATATACCTCCCTGCTCCCATAACCATCCTTCCTCCCTCCCCCATCCCATTGCCCCAAGCTATCCCCAGTCCTCCCCCTCTCCCTTCTCTCTAGCCCTCTCCCCTTACTTCCTTACTTCCACTCTCCCCCCACCCCCGTGCACCCAAGTTTGCCTGGTAGTCTTGTCTACTTCCAATATCCAGGAGGATAACTAGATGATTTTCTTCAGGTTCACCTTTTTATTTAGCTTCTCTAGGATCACGAATTATAGGATCAAAGACCTTTAATTAAGGTTAGAATCCACTTATGAGTGAGTACATACCATATTCCTCTTTTTGGGTCTGGGTTGCCTCACTCAGTAAAGTGTTTTCTATTTCCATCCATTTGCATGCAAAATTCAAGATGTCATTGTTTTTTACTGCGGAGTAAAACTCTAATGTGTATATGTTCCACCTTCTTTAACCATTCTTCTATTGAGGGGCACCTAGGTTGTTTCGAGGTTCTGGCTATTACAAATAGTGCAGCAATGAACATAGTTGAACAAATGCTTTTGTAGTATGATAGGGCATCTCTTGGGTATATTCCCAAGAATGGAATTGCTGGGACCTGAGGAAGGTTGACTCCCAGTTTCCTGAGAAACCACCACACTAATTTCCTCAGCGGCTGTACAAGATTGCATTCCCACCAACAATTAATGAGTGTTCCCCTCACCCCACATCCTCTCCAGCATAGGCTATCATTGGTGTTTTTGAGTTTATCTATTCTGACAGGTGTAAGATAGTATCTCAAAGTTGTTTTGATTTGCATTTCCCTGATCGCTAAGGAGGTTGAGCATGACCTTAAGTGTCTTTTGGCCATTCGAAGTTCATCTGTTGTGAATTCTCTGTTCAGATTAGTACCCCATTTTTTAATTGGGTTAATTAGTGTTTTAGTATCTAGTTTCTTGAGTT